CAGTTATTGGCAGTCCTCTCCTCGCGCTGACGGCGTGTGAGGAGAGGAAAGCTGGTAAATGGCAATCCTCAGAGGGGACATGGACACTGATCATCAGTGCCCTGATCATCAGTGCAGCCCCATCAATGACCATCAGTGCTGCCTTTCAGTGCCCATCAGTGATGCATCTCGGTGTTCATCAATTCTGCCTATCAGTGCTGTTTTTCAGTGCCTGTTAGTGATGCCTGCCAGTGCCCATCAGTGCCATCTATCAGTACCCATCAGTGCCACCTATCAGTGATAAATGTCAGTGCCCATCGGTGCCTTCTATCAGTGCCGCCTCATGAGCTCACATCAGTGAAGAAGAAAAATTACTAATTTACTAAATGTTATAACAGAAACAAAGAAAAACTTTTTCTTCAAAAGTTTTGTTTTTTTCATTTGTTTAGCAAAAAATTAAAAAACCCAGTGGTGAATAAATGCCACCAAAAGAAAGCTCTATACAGTGCCGTGAAAAAGTATTCACACCTCTTGAAATTTTCCACATTTTGTCAGGTTAAAACCAAAAACGTTAATGTATTTTATTGGGATTTTATATGATAGACCAACATAAAGTGGCACATAATTGTGAAGTAGAAGGAAAATGATAAATGATTTTCCCAATTTTTTACAATGAAATGTCTGAAAAGTGTGGCGTACATTTGTATTCAGCCCCCTTGAGTCAATACTTTGTAGAATTACCTTTCACTGTAATTACAGCTGCAAGTCTTTTTAGGTATGTCTCTACCAGGTTTGCACATCTAGAGAGTGAAATTTTTGCCCATTCTTCTTTGCAAAATAGCTCAAGCTCTGTCAGATTGGATGGAGAGCGTATGTGAACAGCAATTTTCAAGTCTTGCCACTGACTCTCAATTGGATTTAGGTTTGGACTTTGACTGAGCCATTCTAGCACATGAATATGCTTTTTTTTTCCCTAAACCATTCGGTTGTAGCTCTGGCTGTATGTTTAGGGTCGTTGTCCTGCTGGAAGGTGAACATCCGCCCCAGTCTCAAGTCTTTTGCAGGTTCTCTTCTAAGATTGCCCTGTATTTGTCTCCACCCATCTTCCCAACAACTCTGACCAGCTTCCCTGTCCCTGCTGAAGAAAAGCATCCCCACAACATGATGCTGCCACCACCATGTTTCACGGTGGGGATGGTGTGTTAAGGGTGATGTGTGCAGTGTTAGTTTTCCGCCACACATAGCGTTTTGCTTTTAAGCCAAAAAGTTTCTTTTTGGTCTCATCTGACCAGAGCACCTTCTTCCACATGTTTGCTGTGTCCCCCACATTTGACAATGATATGCCTACCTCCTGGAGAGTGTCCTTCACTTGTCTGTATGTTGTGAATGGGTTTTTCTTTACCATAGACAGGATCCTGTGATCATCCACCACTGTTGTCTTCCATGGACGTCCATGCCTTTTTATGTTGCTGAGCTCACCAGTGCGTTCTTCTTTCCTCAGAATGTACCAAACTGTTGATTTGGCCACTCCTAATGTTGCTGCTATCTCTCTGATGGATTTGTTTAGTTTTTGAAGCCTTACAATGGTCTGTTTCACTTGCATGGACAGCTCCTTTGAAATCATGATGTATGTTCACAGCAATGATTCCAAATGCAACACTTAGAATAAACTCCAGACCCTTTACCTGCTTAATTGATGAAGAAATAGCAAAGGCGTAGCCCACACCTGGCCATGAAACAGCTTTTGATTCAATTGTCCAATTACTTTTGGTCCCTTGAAAAAGGGGGGGGGTGGCTACTCTTAAGAGTTGTTGTTCCTAAACCCTTCCTCCAATTTGGATGTACATACCTTCAAATAAACCTGAGAGTGTGCACTTTCAGCCCATATCCATTATATAACTATAGCTTGAATATGTTTTGGTAAATACCTGAAAAAAACTAAAATTGTGCCTGTGTCCAAATATATATGGACCTAACTGTATTTGTAAAATATTTTGAAAACCATTTAGCATTTTCCTTCCACTTTACAATTATGTGCCACTTTGTGTTGGCCTATCACATAAAATCCCAATAAAACATATTTAAGTTTTTGGTTGTAACATGACAAAATTTGAAAAATTCCAAGGGGTATGAATACTTTTTCAAGGCACTGTATATCTAAAAAAAAAAATAATAAAAATTTTGTTTGAATGACAATTGCGTGGTCATACAACTCTGTACCCAAAGTGCAACAGTGCTGAAAGCTGAAAATTGGCCTGGGCAGGAAGGGGGTGAAAGTGCCCAGTAGACAATTGGTTAAGCAAGCATCCTATTATATACAGTATAGTTTGTATTGTTTTAAAAAATGTGAAAGTTCTATTTCGTGACATTTTCTTTTTGCATTTATGAAGCTGGTCTTGCTCACACAGAGCTAGTTATGAGAATGAGCTAGCATATGCCTCTCCATATGTGCAGCATAGATCCACTCCATACAACTATCGGTGGTCGCTCCATGGCCAAGGTTTTTCCTGCAGCCTGTAATCTCTCCCCTTAGATCAAATCACTTTGCTGTGAACATTTCAGTCTGCATCTAAATTAAGAGCCAGAAATTTGTATATATTACAATTTGATTATTCTCCATCTGTTTGTGGAGAAAAAATGTATTTGTACCATAATTTTCTATAAATTGTGTTTTATTATTTTTTTACACAGATGCATTTGGAAAAAGCTTTATGTTTCTTTGCTAAGTGCTGCAGAGCAAGCAACCTCATTTACAGCTACTAAATTTTCTTTCTTGCTTTTTCAGTAGCATTCTTAAATTAAAATCTGTAATTTTCCCCACAAGGCAAAAAACTAGATTCATATTTCGGTAACAGTCATTTTTACACATCTTCAGAGATCATTTCTAAGGTTTATAATCAGTTTTTAAGGTTTTTTGGTTTTTACTTTTTCTTCTAAATATGAGATCATTGCAGCTTTTTGAGGACTTGTGGGATGAATTTCTGCTACCATTAGTAATAAGGGATAATGCATTTACCATGTACAGCAAAGGTACCTTGGGCAGCAAGGTCAGAGCAATACCAAAGCACAATGTTTATAGTTTTAATTAACTTTGTTATTTTTATTTTTGCTGTTTCTGGACATTTCTGCACACTTTTTGGTAAATCTAATAGCAAAATTATAGAGTAGAGAAATGCAAGGGCTGCTTAACATAAGCACACAATTCTCCGTTGGTCCAGTAAGTAGCCATGGTTAAGGTTTATGGTTTCCCCTTGACTGATAGACTTCAAATGATTCCTCTGTGTATATAGTACGTAATGCACAAAAAGCTGCCTCATAGCACATTCTGCATTTAACTTTGACTATAATAATCAAATAATATAGTAGGGTAAAAAAAATGTTGAAATTTGTACAAAAAGAAATCATCATTCATGTGTACCTAGAACATATTTATATGCAGTATACACCCCTGCTCAGGGGTTGAGTTGCATGAAAAGCATGTCCTAATGAATGCAGAGTTTTGTCAGGGAACGCACACAAGGTAGTTTTCCCATTTAATAAAAACATGATGTACTGTGTGTACAGAAACAAAATGTTCTACTGGATGAATAAGAGTCAAACTCCAGCCTCTAATTATATTTCACCATCACTGAAGCACACAGCTGAAATGGTTCACAGATAAGCCAAATTAGAAGGAGGTGCTTTGAACATTATGAATATTAAAATCATCTTTTTGGCCAGTATATGTTAGTGCAGTATTGCAGCTGCACTGCTATATTGTAGCTGCACACTAATATTTGATGGTTCAAAGGAAGTAGGGTAGTGCCTAAATGTCTGATCAGATTGTAATGTATTGGCAGACACACCGCCCTTTGAAATTTTTACTCCCAAGATTTTTTCCCCAGTTTCAATAAAAAATTGAAAATGTTAATCCATTCTTAGGTGGCTGCTCACTCTTTACCATATGCTAATAGCTCAGTGGAAGCAAGTTTGCTGTCATTTCTTGCTACTGCAATTAGCTATATTTTGCTCCTGAGTTGTATAGTTATTTACATCTCACACATTTGGCTTATTTTTTCATTGCACATCTTCATATTCAATATACAGCAGATCATAGGTTATTACTGAATTAACAATAATTAATTTGGTAAATGGCTGATAAAACTATCATTTTGTTGAATCACTAGCCATAGCTTTGTCTACCACAGCTCTGAGAACTCCAAAAGTATTGGATTCTAAAATGTGGGACAAGTCTTGCAACCTTGGAACCCCAAAAAGTGATCTTAGGATCCACATTGGAATCATAGAACCTGCTTTAAGTGCAGCAAATGCATTATGGGCCAGATGAACTCTCCTAGCATCATAATACTAATATCACTTCTGGTGATGTTCGAAATCCTTGTGGTGGAAAATCACATTCCTAATCCATTAAATAGCCTAATTGGGCCTGGGTTGCTCTTTGAAGGAACTTATATGGTCAATAGTTAAATAGACATTCCCTTTTTCCTTACCCTTGTGCTTTCCTTTTTCCTTCTTTAATAGCCCCCATTATTCTGCGCGTGGCAAAGCTAGTATATTTTCCCCTGATTAAATAACAGAATGGTATTTTGTAAATTAGTCTTTTGTCTGTCGAAATGACTTGTGACTTGTAGCAGTAAAATGAATTAATCTGTGCGCACCTCCTGGGTATTGTGACACTAAGGTAAAACCTGGAAAAGGCAGATTTATCCATGCACAAAAAGTAGCAATTTTTAGCTTCTACAACAAGAACATACATGTTTCCGCACAATGGATGAGTGAAGTTACTTTGTGTCAGTAACATATCTGGCAGCCTACCAAATGTTAATTTGCTCTTAGCTACTTGAGATTAAATGTAATTCCTTCCCTGAGCAGTTTTAAAGTAAGCAAGCATGAAAGCATTTTCTGAGTAATCTGGGAGGAATTGACATTTAAATGAGTTAGCATTACATCTGCACTTTAAGGCTATTCATTTCATAGATAAATTAACTACATTATTCTCTCTTTATCTTACGTTTTGAAAGAACTCCATCAGCAGAAGAAATGGCAGTCCAGGGTCAGCTGAAACTGCTCTTATCCCAACCATGCTGTAATTGGAACTTGCTGCTCGAAACACTGCTGCATCCTGATTGTCTTGTTGCTAGAACTTTGCTGACTGGCTCAAGTAAGTGCACTTTCTATTTAAAGTATTACATTATGTATATGTGTGTCTGGGTATAGTTTGTGTGTGTTTCTTTTTGTCATTTTGAAAAAACAGAATTGACACAATATCCTTTAAAGAACAAGTGAACCTAAAATAGAAAGTTACTTTTTGTATAAGAGCGGCTGACAAAATTCACAGAGCTGTATTTATTTGACTTCTATACTGTTAACTTTATTTAATAGTACTCTATAGAGACCCAATCAGGTCAGTCTTGGTGGACTCTTTCCTAGTTGCATTTCTTTTACAGAGTTATCAATTAGATAATATGTGTACCGAGATCAAATAATTGAAAAAGTTTGATGTTAAATGAAATTATTTGTATGTCTGTGTGCACAGATAGATTCACATCAGCTTCTGTCCCACCATGGAGCTGACATAATCTCTCAAGCATACATTGTCTGACCACTTTGAGATGGAAGCAAGTGAAGCTGTAAATATGTATTGATTGTGGGAGTATCTATGGTTTAGAGAAACCTGGAGGAAATCCATGCATAAATGAGGAGGATGTTCAGACTTCATGCAGATTGTATCTGGGTAAACAGAAAAATTGGGGGTGATTTACTAAAACTGGAGAGTGCAAATTCTCTGTATAAAATCCAAAGAACATCCAGGTTTTATTGGCAAAGCTTAATTGAACAAGCTGAAGTTAGAAGCTGATTGGCTACTATTCACAGCTGCACCAGATTTTTGTAAATCTACCGCATAGGCAGTTTGTTTCTTCCTAAACTGTAGACATTAGGGGCACTAGGATATACAGCTACAGCCCAAAGATCCTATTTTTGCAAGATCGTTAAATAAACATACATGATTGGATTGTCTGAGCATCCATACAGTGTATGGTTAAAGAGCAGGGAGGGAGTGTGCAGCCAGATAACAAGAGTACCAGTTTATCTTAGGTGAAACAATGCCAGCTGGCTGATATGCAAGACCACTATGTAACCTTAGATTGGTTGGGTGGGGATTACTGGTGCAATCCGATGGCATCTATGCACTTAAGCAGAGGTAGGATCTGTTTTATACAATTATTAATTGTGGGCATCTCTAGTCTCTTCTTTATAACACAGCAGTGATCAAATATTTCTCACTAGTGTTAGGTGACCTTAAAAGCCCATTGTGCCATTTATTATTTCAACAGCTAATTAATACACCATTTAGACAGGTAACATATTATTATGCCATCCTATTGAGTATGCAGAGGTTCTATAGCAAACAAGAGGTAAATGCCCACATTTCTTTAATCAATCTGCCAGTTATCCTTCATTAAGGCTTATTTAAAAAGGCAATGAAAAAAAGTAATGGTGAACATCACTTTTTTGTCCTACACCAATTGGTGCACCTCCTGAAAGAAGTGTGCTATATTAAATGCTTTATTTCCTCCCCGTTCCAACAGTCTTCACTGTGTGGCCCTGCCCATCACCACACAGCCTGTCTAAAAAACATCCCTGCTGGTCCTTTTCTTAGAGAACATGCATAGCCTCATTCACTCCTATGGGTAAGCCTTATTTCACTGGACGGCTGAAAAGAATGGGGCCATTTTAACATACAAGATGCATAGTGCCCTCCACCACATAGGGCGGATACTAACATTCCATTGAAAATCTGCCATTGTGTAGCATTTGTCTCCTCCATAGGAAAAACAAAACTTTAGTATATGTATTCTGTGTCATGAGGTTCCTGGTGAGGTAGCAGTCAGAATTTAAAATGGGCAAATCTCTCAGCACATATTTTTTCTGTGACACATTTACCATGACATGGCTATCATTACCATGTCTCTTTAGTCTGCATGTTAGTGTACTTAGAATCCATTTAAGGTTTTGACCTTAAAAATGCATTTTTAAAATTGGTATTTTAAAGTGCCCTTGTTGCACAGTTTTGTGCATTTTGACATGGATTATGCAATATTTTGTAAAGAGAACGATTCAAAATTGGTTTTTTTCTTGAATCCGAATATACAGTCTGAAATTGTCATAAATTGGCAAACATGCCTATGTGTTTACTTTTTTTAACTTTTATGAATGGTCTGTGTTATGTTAATACAACCATTCATGTAGTACTCTTAAATAAGTGAGTCTTCAATGTCCTCACTTAAAGGAGAAGTACAGCCAAAGCTCTTTTGGCTGTACTTCTCCTGTTGATCACAGGAGTGCAGTTCCATCTGCGCTCCTGTAACCCATTTTCAGCTGACAGCATGCTACTGGCCACTGTTGGCTGACATAACAGAGTTGGTCCAGGCTGGGGAAAGATCGCAACCGTATGGTCAGGATCCACCCAGGAGCCTCGACTGGTACCTGACTCAGCCTCTCAGTGAGCTGCTGAGAGCCTGAGCCAGCCGCTCCTGCCCCCTCCACAGCCCAGGACTGGGGGGGTGCAGAACAAAGAGCAGTGACTGACAGTCAGCGCTCTCTGCTCAGAGCATTGGGGAAAACCGAGCGATCAGCAGTGTCTGATCACTCAGTTCTCAGCCTTAGAGCCGGCAGGGGACAGATGCAGCATTGGATTGATGCTTCATCCACCTAAGTAAGTATGATTAAAACAATATATATATATCCCATATTTCTCTTGTAATGTCTATTGCAATATACTGTAACAGATACAAGTAGTTAGGAGGAATGTAAACAACATCCAGACTATGTGTTTGATATTGCCGTGATTACTTAGGAATTGGAAAACAGCACACCTTAAACCAAATTAAGTCTCCCTTAGCTCCAAGAGTTATCCTCAGGAAAACTTATATTTTTTTAATTAGATATTTAGTTTTAATAGACAAGTCTACACAGTTATAATAATATATAATTATATGTTCAGATGCCTTCACAAATGCTGGGCTGATTCTCTTTAACCACTTGACCTCTGGAATATTTACCCTCCTTCATGACCAGGCCGTTTTTTGCTTTTTGGCACTGCATTACTTTACCTGATAATTGTGCAGTCATACAGCGCTGTACACAAACTAATGTATAGAACTTTTTTTCCCACAAATAGACTTTCTTTTGGTGTTATTTGATCACCACTGAGTTTTTTTACAGTCCATGGAAAAATGCATAAGCTAAAACTGAACCATTTAAAGCAGTGGTGTAGAGGTATAAACAAGCCCTTAAAAAGGAACTATACTTATTTCCGCTCCAGCAATGCAACGCCCTCAAGCTCCCTTGCGGCACCTTCCTTTGGTATCTTCAGCCATTTTGAGTGGACAGGCCTCTTGATGACACATGAGAGTTAATTCATTCCGGCACCTAGCATATGCCAGGACTTTACACCGAGCCGTGCATGCACGCCGTGCATGAGTTTGCAAGGAGGTAAGACTCCTTTGATGCAGAAGCGACATACTATGTCACATACACTATATTGCCGAAAGTATTGTGACACCCTGCTTTACACGTACATGAAATGGAATCCCAGTCTTGGTCCATAGGGTTCATTATTGAGTCAGTCTACCATTGCAGCTAATCTGGGAAGGCTGTCCTCAAGTGTGTTTATGGGAATGTTTGACCATTTTTTCACAAGCGCATTTGTGAGGTCAGGCACTGATGTCGGTCGAGAAGGCCTGGCTCACAGTCTCCGCTCTAATTCATCCCAAAGGCGTTTTATCGGATTGAGGTCAGGACTCCATGCAAGACTGTCAAGTTCCTCCACCCCAGACTCACTCATCCATTTCTTTATGGACCTTGCTTTGTGCACTGGTGCGCAGTCATGTTGGAACAGGAAGGGGCAATCCCACAAAGTTGGGAGCATGAAATTGTCAAAAATGACTTGGTATGCTGTTACCTTAAGTTCCCTTCACTGGAACTAAGGGGCCAAGCCCAATGTCTGAAAAGCAACTCCACAGCATAATCCCCTTCCACCAAACTTTACACTTGGCACAATGCAGTCAGGCAAATACTGTTTTCCTGGCAACCACCAAACCCAGACACGTCCATCAGATTGCCAGACAGAGAAGCGTGATTCATCACTTCAGAGAACACATCTCCACTGCTCTAGAGTCCAGTGGCAGTGTGCTTTACCTCACTTCATCCGACGCTCTTTGCATTGCACTTGGTGGTGTAAGGCTTGGATGCAGCTGCTCAGCCATGGAAACCCATTCCATGAAGCTCTCTACGTACTGTTGTTGTGCTGATCTGAAGGCCACATGAAGTTTGGAGGTCTTTAGTTATTAACTCTGCAGACAGTTGGTGACCCTGCTCTGTCATTTTATGTGGCCTACCACTTCGTGGCCGAGTTACTGTTGTTCCCAGTTGCTTTCACTTTGTTATAATACCACTTACAGGTGACTGTGGAATATTTAGTAGCAAGGAAATTGCATGGATGGACTTATTGCACAGGTGGCAACCTGCCACAGTACCACACTTGAATTCACTGAGCTCCTGAGAGCAACCCATTCTTTCACCAATGTTTGTAGAAGCAGTCTACATACCTAGGTTCTTGATTTCATACACCTGTGGCCATGGAGGTGATTGGAACATCTGAATCCATTGATTTGGTGGGGTGTCCAGAGGTGTGGAAATTTAAAAAAAAAACTAATTGTCCAAGGGATTAAGTCAGTGTCCCAATCTACTTGTCCCTCATGACATTCTACTTGTCCAGATACATTTTTTTTTTTTTAACCAAAAACGTATTGAAATCGGAGGTGATATTAGGAATGTTTTATGGTGACTTAAATGTGTAATATTTTTATCTCCTCCCCCTGCCTGTCTCCAGCACTGCACCTGGGGACTAGTAGGGAGCAGAAAGACCTTGCAGTGTAATGAGCACCGATTGGGTGCTTGTCAGGAAAGGGGATTGTCGGGCTTATCCTTTATCCATTTCGCTGCCAGAGCCATTTTTGTGTTTTTTTTGCACAAGATTAAAAAAAAATCATTTTAGGCCTTAAGATTACACAAAACCCCCAAACATGTTATATTTTCTGAAATCAGAGACCCTAGATAATAAAATAGTGGCAGTTCCAATTTTTTATGTCGCACAATATTACCGCAAAATTTCAGTAAAAAATACAAGTTAGTTCATTTTAGGGCACAAAAAAAAAGCAATGAATTACCCTATTTTTGTAAAATATAAAAGATGAGGTTGCAGTGAGTAAATAGATATCCAACTTGTCAAACCTTAAAATTGCGTGCGCTCGTGAAATAGCGGTGAACTTCAGTGCCCTATATTTTCTATAGGTGATGCTTTTAAAGCCCCTTCTACGTCATCAGTTTAGTGTCACGGAGGAGGTCTGGTGCTAGAATTATTGCTTTTATTATGGCGTGCGCGGTGATATGTAACGTGTATCGCAATCAACGTTTTCATGCATAGGCACCCCAGCATGTGCTTTTACATTTCTACGTGTGTATATATGTAGGGGGGCTTAATTTTTTTGGGGGTGGATGTTATGTGCTTTGGTGTAACTTAAATTTTTTACAATTTTAAAAATTTTATTTTTTTTAACTTCATTTTTTTTTTCATCACATAGAGGACAATGTCCCCAATGTGATGATTTTTTGGTGACAGGTTCTCTTTATTGAGACTTCCAAGGTCTAAAAGACCCTGCATGTATCCCCTGTGCTCCACTGAATGTAATGCAGTGCACATCGCACTGCATTACATTCTTTCCTGGCCTCAGTTGCCGGGAATCTCTCAACAGGGACCCAGAAGGGACATCACAATGTCACTTCCGGGTCAAGACAAGAAGGGGAGTGGACGTGTCCGCTCTCCTCCCTCCCCTCTAGCAGCCGACGGTGAGCCAATCCTGGGCCCGCAGATGGGCAAGCGTAGCCTGGGAAACAGTGGGTGGGGGGAGCTTCACACGGGAGGGGTGGGCAGAGAGGCTGGCACCTCAATGCTTCCACCTCACAGGTGAACCCTGCTGCTTGCCCACAGCTGTGCTGATGGTACAAAAACAAAACTACCTGCCCAGCACCCCGAAACTACATGTCCCGGGCATCGGGTTATAGGACTTCAACATCCCTGGGTGTCCCAGTACTTTTGGCAATATAGTGTAGTATCTCTCTTCTACAATAAAGAACTTCTTCCAACTTGTGAATTTTATTTTTTTAACCTAAATTTCCACTTTAAATTGGGATTTCCATCTACCCACAGTGGCTAAATGGTTAGCACTTCTGCGTGGCAGTACCAGGGTCGTTGGTTCAAATCCCAGCCATGGCACCTCCTGCCTGGAATTTGCATGTTCTCCCTGTGACTGCGTGGGTTTCCTCCGGGTACTCTCAGTTTCCTCCCACACTCCAAAGAGATGCTGGTAGGTTAATTGCATCCTGTCTAAATTGTCCCTTGTATATGAATGTGAGTTAGGGACCTTAGATTGTACGCCCCTTGAGGGTTAGGGACTGATGTGAATGTACAATATATGTATGTAAAAGCACTGCGTAAATTGATGGCGCTATATAAGTACCTGAAATAAATAAATAATAATAAAATACCCATCCATCCCTTTTAATGGCCTGTAAATTCTACATGTTCTTTTGCCTTATATGGCGGCAAGAGAGAATCAAATAATTGTTTTTGTTAGCCTCACCGTAATAAACTGCTGAAAACTGATTGTTTACTTAGTTCAGATCAGTATCTACACAGACATTTGTTTCCAAAACGTCATAGAAATCATCATATGTGTGCTGGATTAATTAGATTTTTATATAAAGAGTATAGGACAATGTGTTGCCATGAAATGCTGTTCTACAATATGTAATTTAGGTCTGTCATTGTTAAGTGGTCTAACATTCGTTAGAAAGGCAACATTGCTTCAGACTTTGTCCTACCTCATATTCACAACTGGGCTCCATTCACTTACCTATTCAAATACCTGTCATCATCTACAAAGACTGACAAATGTTTGATCAAGATCACATTACTACCCTAGTGCTCTTCTGTATTGAATTCTGCTAGCTGCTTTAATTATCACATGGATAAAGTGACAGAAAGCATAAATCTATTGACTGGCCAGGTCCTTGTGCGGCAGCAGAATATGTGCCTTCAAATGACATTGTGAACCTGGAGAACAAAGTGGCCCACAGAAAACTGATACGCTTTTCCTGGAGAACAGTTCTAGTCTTGCATATTTTATATTTTTACATGAATTTCCAGATGTGTGAATTCTTGTGGCAAACGTATGTATGGGATTATATATCCTATTACTGTAAAACATCAACATATTGGATGCCTCTGGGGAAGTAATGATAGAACAAAGAATCTCTGCTCTATGGTTACAAATATTTATTTATACTAGAGAATAGCGTTTATAAAATAGAACACTTTTAGTGTTATAGTAGGCAGGTATTATTCGTGAATAATTGAATCACAAGGTCATTAATTGTTCACTTAGATGATATGGTTTAGATTTAAAGCAGATATTACAGTTTGCGATGATCAAAGCCATAAAAAAGCCCATGACATTGAGCACATAAAGCAAAGGTTTTTTCAGAGCAGCAGATATTAGCATTTAATAAACTTAGCACACTATTAGTAAGAACATTTAGTGACAAATTGTTTTTTTTATTATTATTGTTGCCCTGTTAATGTTTTAGATTTATGCATTGTTTTTTCATCAACTTTCATCTACTGTTTTGATATGATATTTGTGACTTCTATTGTTAGGAAAAAAGTAAAAAAAAAAAAAAAAAACCCTATTTAGGTAGAACTGTATCTCTGCAGTTATGTGAAAATATCTTTGTTTATAATATTTTGTGCTTAGTGATGTATTTGTGAAGTATTTATAAGCTTGCGCCCAAGTCTTGCCACACTTTAGCATTCGCTTTTTTGTGACAACTGCATAGTAATTGGAATTAAAGAGTAACTCCGCTTTTGTTGAGAAAAAATAAACCTCTCTGGATGCTCAATATAAATTGCAGGGATTTTGACAAACTTTGCGGCAGATTCCTACCTTTTGTTGAAATGACTCTTTGTTTCACCACACTGAGCGCATAATAATTCTGAATGGGAGGATCTGGTTCAATATTAATCGGATGGTGCACTTTCTGTGTTCTAATGAAGAAAGTAACAGTGTTTTGATTCCTTTAGAAGTGGCTACATTTCTATTGGAGGGGTGCCTAAAATCTGACTTGTATCCTAGTGCAGACTTCTGACAAAATGAGTTAGTTATCCACACATGCAGGAAATGACTTTTTTGGAGGTATTCTGTATACCGGCTGTGCACAGAATGCTTCTAGGTTGTCATGTTGCATTGAATTTTACAGAAAACTACTGTGTTGAATGAAAAGAAAAGGTATTTTTTTAATAACATTAAATTACAAAATGGCTTGTGTAACATGTGTGTATATATATACAGTGTGTATATATATATATATATATATATATATATATATATATATATATATTATTTTATTTTTTTTTTTTTTTTTGCTACATTGTTTTTTATGAAAATGGGTTTATTCTTTAGCTAGCCTTCAAATCAACCTATTCTGTCCTTATATTAAGTGGACACTAAAAGTACATCAGAGCAGCACTGTGAAACTTACATACTACCTCTGTTTATTTGCATTGAATACTTGTGAAAATGATTTGAAAACTCAGCAGAAAATATTGAAATAAAAAAGTGCTTTAGTGACAGTAGGCTGGCAGTTAAGAGCTAGGTTGTTCTTTCCATGGCTGCCCATAACACCTGTGGGCTGAAAGGGATTCACAAAGGATGGGAACTGCTGAAATCATGGTTCTGCTTGTGGAGCATATTTTGTAGGTCATGAAGAATGATGTTCTTGTTCTGCCAGATGTTATATGGCTTGGCATTTTATTATGCCGCTGCTGGTGGTGTATAGTAATATGATGCCAAAAGATAACATATTGCCATATAAGCAGATGCCGATTATGACTTGTGCTTTAGTAAAACCAGCCCACAAACCTCTAGTTTAAATGCCACTACTTTTCTGTAATTTAAAAAATATATATTAATTGTCACAGTTAATTGTTGCCTACATGCTGTAAAAATTATGCTATTGGTACATGTGAATACCTACATTTTCTGGGTGTAAAATGCTGTTTCTCAGCCTAACTCAAAGTAAAGGAGGATTCTTTGGTACATCTGCTTGCTATAGGTTGTTTGGGGCAAATATCAACCACTTGTTGCTATCTGTAGAAATTGGGATGAGTTCCTATGTGATGGACATCTAATCAGTAATTCTTTTAGACATGAGATTCATTTGAGAAGTGTTTTTACTATGCATTTACCAGGCAAAGCAAGGTTTAAACTGATTTTCAGTTATCTTAAATTCTTAAAGTCACTAGTCTTTAAAGCATATCTAAACCCTAAAACAAAAACCATTATGTATTTCAGTTTACCAATCCTTAGATTGAGGTAGCTGCTTCAGTTTTGTTTTTTTTTTTTGTGCCTTGTTCACACCATATATGCGTAGTGGTGGGCAGAAAAACACAGTTCACTGGACAAGGTGCAAACACGTCCTCAGGCGGTATTTCCATTATTTTTACTTGGTAATTCTGCATTCCCTATCCTATTCTGCCTGTATCTGTGGAGGGAATCGTGGTTATTATCCAGGCTACACTTCAAAACATGTCTTCCTCACAACTCTATTACATGAGAGCATTATTAGTTTATATAAGAAAGGTAACATTGTACTCATAGTTTAGCAGCCAGGAAGCTCAACATGTTCTGTTGCTTTGGACACCACTATCAGCTTAATCTCTGAACATAAAGGGTGGAGAACAGGAGGGAAGATCTCATCAGAGCTGCTTCTCCTTCATGGCCCAATCCACAGCCTGGGATGGGCCCTGGACCTGTATGAATTACCTAATTGCAGTGTGCTCTGCAAAGAGATCCAGGACCAAGGCATTAGGTGATTTGCTAAATAAAATAAACAATATTTTAGCTGCTAAAATCATTCCCATGTGTATGTTTAAAGCAAACTGTTTACATGTAGTTCAATTTTAAATAAAGATGGTATACAGTGTTAATGCTTTAATCTTACCATTAACATTATTTTTTTTTCAGTAAGGGAGACAGCATGTCTGGAATCAAGCAATTTGGAAATAACAATGGAAACGAACAATGGCAAAACTTTATCAGACACATTCCTGACGCACAGTTTTTTCTTATTGTACTTTTGCTCCTTGTTCTTTTACTTTCTTGCTGGAAAAATATATGGATCAGGAGCAACTTTGGGACTCTCTCTGTAACCAGACAGGTACAACACTAATTTTTATCTTTATATGTTTGTATCACGCACCTCACCTAGTCTTAAATGAATGGCCAGCTTTCACTGCAGGATGTTAAAGTATTATAAAGAAGCAAGCATGTAAGAGACATATATATATATTTTTTTAGGTTAACACAACAGTAAAATGGCCATATACCAGCTGTTCCTGCTAGTATGTTTGATAGCTCTGGCAAATGTGGGTATAATTTGATTTCATAGATCATGACACTGATGGCAGCAGATGCCACCTAGGCCACGCTACCCTTACTTTCCAAGTATAATACACTAACACCGTGATCAGCTTGATACTAAAATGGGAAAAACAGCAATATGATGAGGTAGCCAGCAAGGTCTGTTACCTGAGTTAGTTGACAGATCAGTAACAGTGGATTCATTCAAAAATGTGTTCTTCCTGAGAGTTACTTTCACATTAGGCATCAAAGCAGTTATCCTTCCTAAAGTTATATATATAATAAGAAAATGGCATTAAAAATACAAAAAAGAAGGAACACTATCATCATTTAAAAGTTACAAAGAATATAGCAAAATATGTAAAAAGGAAAGAAGGGCCGCAAAAAAATGACAGGTTGTAAAAGAGAGTAGGACAAACCCCCCAATTTTTTAAAATATGATAATAGTAAACTGGTTATGTCTGAGCATGTAAGCTCTTTACAAGATAATTTATAGTTGGTGACTCTAAGAGAAGGCAGATGTACATGTTGTATTTAAAACCTTCTTCAGCTCTGTGTATACAAAGGAAAATGAAGGTGCTCAAGTTCATAATTGGGATAATATTGACGTAGCCCCCCAAAAAACACAAAAGGCTCAACATTTATATAGATGGCTTGCATTCACATGCACTCAAAGAGTTGAGCTCTGATAAAATAGAAGCCAATTTAAATGGGAAACTGGCAAATTAGGTTTGTTGTTGACAAATGTAAAGTTATGTTCTTGGAGGCTAAATGCATGCATGCATTATACATTTTAAGAGAACAGCTGGGGGAATCAATGGTAGAGATGGACTTGGTTGTTCTGGTAGATCATAGACTTAATAATAGCATGCTAGAGAAGAGGAGATTGAGGGGGAATATGATCAACATGTATACATACATACAGTGGGGATCGAAAGTTTGGGCACCCCAGCTAAAAATTTGTATTAATGTGCATAAAGAAGCCAAGGAAAGATGGAAAAATCACCAAAAGGCATCAAATTAAAGATTAGACATTCTTATAATATGTCAACAAAAGTTAGATTTTATTTCCATCATTTACACTTTCAAAATAACAGAAAACAAAAAAATGGCGTCTGCAAAAGTTTGGGCACCCTGCAGAATTTATAGCATGCACTGCCCCCTTTGCCAAGCTGAGACCTGCCAGTGTCATGGATTGTTCTCAATCATCGTCTGGGAAGACCAGGTGATGTCAATCTCAAAGGTTTTAAATGCCCAGACTCATCTGACCTTGCCCCAACAATCAGCACCATGGGTTCTTCTAAGCAGTTGTCTAGAAAACTGAAACTGAAAATAGTTGACGCTCACAAAGCTGGAGAAGGCTATAAGAAGATAGGAAAAGCGTTTTCAGATGTCAATATTTTCTGTTCGGAATGTAATTAAGAAATGGCAGTCATCAGGAACAGTGGAAGTTAAAGCAAGATCTGGAAGACCAAGAAAAATATCAGACAGAACAGCTCGCAGGATTGTGAGAAAAACAATTCAAAACCCAAGTTTGACTGCACGATCCCTCCAGAAAGATCTGGCAGACACTGGAGTTGTGGTCCACTATTCCACTATAAAGAGATACTTGTACAAATATGGTCTTCATGGAAGAGTCATCAGAAGAAAACCTCTTCTACGTCCTCACCACAAAAATCCTCTTTTGAACTTTGCAAATGAACATATAGACAAGCCTGATGCATTTTGGAAACAAATTCTGTGGAGCGATGAGGTTAAACTTGAACTTTTTGGCCGGAATGAGCAAAGGTACGTTTTGGAGAAGAAGGGGCACAGAATTGAATGAAAAGGACCTCTGTCCAACTGTTAAGCATGGGGTTGGATCAATCATGCTTTGGGGTTGTGTTGCAGCCAGTGGCACAGGGAACATCTCACGAGTAGAAGGAAAAATGGATTCAATAAAATTTCAGCAAATTTTGGATGGTAACTTGATGCCATCTGTGAAAAAGCTGAAGTTAAAGAGAGGATGGCTTCTACAAATGGATAATGATCCTAAACACACCTCGAAATCCACGGAGGATTACATCAAGAGGGCGTAAACTGAAGGTTTTGCCATGGCCTTCACAATCTCCTGACCTCAACATAATTGAAAAATCTATGGATAGACCTTAAAAGAGCAGTGCGTGACAGACAGCCCAGAAATCTCAAAGAACTGGAAGACTTTTGTAAGGAAGAATGGGCAAAGATACCTCAAACAAGAATTGAAAGACTCTTGGCTGGCTACAAAAAGCGTTTACAAGCTGTGATACTTGCCAAAGGGGGCAGTACAAGATATTAACTCTGCAGGGTGCCCAAACTTTTGCAGACGCCATTTTTTTGTTTTCTGTTATATTTTGAAAGTGTAAATGATGGAAATAAAATCTAACTTTTGTTGACATATTATAAGAATGTCTAATCTGTAATTTGCTGCGTTTTGGAGATTTTTCCATCTTTCCTTGGCTTCTTTATGCACATTAATACAAATTTTTAGCTGGGGTGCCCAAACTTTCGATCCCCACTGTAAGTGGTCCATGGAACTTGTTAGAGGTACTTATATAGAGCCAACAATTTATGAAGCACTTTACATCTATAATGGATATAAAAAGTCTACACACCACTGTTGTGTCAGGTTTCTGTGATGTAAAAAAATTAGACAAAGATAAATTGTTTCAGAACTTTTTCCACTTTCAATGTGACCTATCAACTGTATACCTCGATTGAAAAACAAACTGAAATCTTTTTTTTTGGGGGGGGGGGGGGGTAGTAGACATAAAAAACTAAAATAATGTGGTTGCTTCAGTGTGCACACCCTCTTATAACTGGGGATGTAGCTATGTAAAGTGCTGCGTGAATTGACGGCGCTATATAAGTACCTGAAATAAATAAATTTTCTTAGTTGCATCCTACAGCAAAAGCCATGGTTCACAGAGAGCTTCCAAAGCATCAGAGGGATCTCAATATTAAAAGGTATCAGGAGAAGGGTACAAAAGAATTTCCAAGGCATTAGATATACCATGGAACACAGTGAAGACAGTCATCATCAAGTGAAGAAAATATAACAGTGACATTACCAAGAAGTGGATGTCCCTCCAAAATTGATGAAAAGATGAGAAGAAAACTGGTCTGGGAGGCTGCCAAGAGGCCTACAGCAACATTAAAGGAGCTGCAGGATTATCTGGCAAGTACTGGCTGTGTGGTACATGTGCCAACAATCTTCTGTATTCTTCATATTTCTGGGCTTTGGGGTAGAGTGGCAATACGGAAGCCTTTTCTTATAAAAACATCCAAGCCTGGCTAAATTTTGCAAAAACACATCTGAAGTCTCCCAAAAGCATGTGGGAAAATGTGTTATGGTCTGATGAGACCAAGGTTGAACTTTTTGTCCATAATTCCAAAAAATGTGTTTGGAGCAAAACAACACTGCACATCACCAAAAGAGCACCATACCCACCGTGAAGCATGGTGGTGGCAGCATCATGCTTTGGGGCTGTTTTTCTTTAGCTGTAGCTGGGGCCTTAGTCAAGGTAGAGGGAATTATAAACTGTTCCAAATACCAGTCAATATTGTCAATATTGGCTTCTGCTAGAAAGCTGAACATGAAGAGGAACTTCATCATTCAGCATGACAATGACCCAAAGAAAACATCCAAATCAACAAAGGAATGGCTTCAGCAGAAGAAGATTAAAGTTTTGGAATGGCCAGCCAGAGCCCAGACCTGAATCTGATCAAAAATCTGTGGGGTATCTGAAGAGGGCTGTGCACAGGAGATGCCCTCGCAATCTGACAGATTTGGAGTGTTTTTGCAAGAAAGAGTTGGCAAATATTGCAAGGCAAGATGTGCCATGCTGATAGACTCATACCCAAAATGAGTGCTGTAATAAAATCAAAAGGTGCTTCAACAAAGTATTAGTTTAAGGGTTGCATACTTATTGTCAGGAGCCGCCACAATCCACGGCTCGGCGCAGGCGCACTGTGCCTGTTCGCGCTAGTGTACGGGCACTAGGTCCTGGCTGGCTGCAGCGGAGACGGAATCCGCGCATGCGCACTCGGAGCCACGGTGCGCGCTTGGCACCAATGACAGCGCAGGGCGCGGTATTTAAATCCCTGCGCTGACATGAATTGCCGTTTGGTCTCCTTGTGTTCCTGATCTTGTTGTACGTGATTCTTGATTGTTGCTGACCCAGATTTTCCCTGACCTTGCTGTATTCTCCTGTTCTGACCCCTGGCTTGCCTGACCTACCTCCTGGATGCCCTATATTGGATCTGATATTCTGTTGCTGACCTGGCGTGTGACCCGACCATTCTCTGCCCACTGCTTTGTACTGCACTGCTCCCACGGGTTCCGACTCGGCTTGTCTGACCATGCTCCTGCTCATCCATCCACCTCACTCTGGCATATCCGCCTCTTCACATCAGGCTCTCCCCCCCTGCAGAAACCTCTGGCGGATCCCTCTACCACGGGTGGGTGTACTCAGGAGCCGCGACCTGGTCTCGGTTCGCTCCAAGTCCATCCCCACCATCAGGGGCCCTGGTGAACCAGCGGACCGGGACTTAGACTCCGCGCTCTGGGGAAACCTAACCAGTGGGCTGCTAGAGGTACCGCCAGGCGGTTCCTTACACTTATGCAACCATATTATTTTAGTTTTTTTATTTTTACTTCCTTCCACCTAAAAAGATTTCAGTTTGTTGTTCAACTGAGTTGTACAGTTTATAGGTTACATTAAAGGTGGAAAAAGTTCAGAAATTATTTATCTTTGTCTCATTTTATTATATCACAGA